AAACTGAAATATTCGATCCCTTTTGAATATATTTATTGTGTTTTAAAGTATAGTGTTTTAAGTGAGTGAGTGAGTGAGTGAGTTAGTTAAAAATTACAGTCACATCGGCAATATTTCAGCCATATCGTGACTAAAACAAGTTTAGAATTCACCATAAATACATGTAAATTATAAAAACCTGTCATCGAAGGACAGTAAAACCGACTAGAATATCACAGTATCAAGAAATAAAACTAGCATCTCTCTCTAAAATTGGTCCTCCCGGAGAGCGGAAGGTCGCGGGTTCGATCCCCGACCGCGTCATACCAAAAGACGTTAAAATATGGTACTTGTTGGTCCATGCCTGACGCTCGGCATTAATGGGTACAACAAGGACTGGTCGGCTCGGAGTCAGTATAAAGTGTCTGAGTGGGGTATTCATGCTTCACTGCGGCATGGTATCTCAGTGGGCTAGCACCATAAAACTAGCTTAAGTCTGGGCTAGTACCAGCAGCCGCACATACACATACACACGCATGCACGTCGTCATATGAGCGAAATATTCTCAAGCACGACGTTAAACCCAATTTCACCTCACCTCACCTCTAAAATTGGATTTTAAATTAGGACAATACATTATAAAATGGGCTTTAGATCGCCAACATGATCGCTTTAGATCGCGAAGATGTCGACCAACAAATTCGTGGTTTGCTCTGCACGAGCCGACAACATCGTCGCGGTTTGCTCCACACGAGCAGACAACATCGTTGCGTTTTGTTCCACATGGACCTCGAGCCTCCCCAAGCGGTCGTAGAAGTCCTGGACGGTGGGCGCAGTCGACGATTCTGCAGCAGGCAATACGGTTGTGCTGGAGGTAGACATCGGATTTGGAGCTATCTCGCCGGCGGGCAAGAGGGTTGACGGTTCTTCGGTTGGCAATATGGATGTGCTGGAGTTCGGATTTGTAGCGGGGGAGGAAGAAATGGGCTTTGTAGCTATTTGCATATCATCTTCTGTATTGCGTAGTCGATTGGACCGATTCCAAATCGTTTTTTCGTTTCTTGTGCAGAGATTTTTCCAAGCATCTTGCGAATCTCTTCCACTTGGTCTTGCGATAGTTGTCTTTTCGACGGCATTGGGTTTGTAACATATATCTACACCATTGTCTATATGGAAAACTAGGCAGAACCTAGGCAAACTAGGTGCAAACTAGGTAGAAACTAGGTGCGAACTAGTCAGGACCTAGGCAAACTAGTTGACGTCGCCAGTCGCTACAAGGAAGCTGAACCGTTGACGACCAAAGATTCGAACGAAGTCTCCAAAGCCTTTGAACACATATACAAACGCAGTTGCTTGACCTGGCCTGCCGTATTGCAAGTCGATCCCGGACTCGAGTTCATGGGAGCCGTGTCACAGCTGCTGGCCAAGCACGACGTCTAGGTGAGACGAGGTATAGCGGGAGCTCACTCGTTGAGAGATTCAATCACACCCTAGCCGAACGCCTGTTCTCGAACCAATACTCACAGGATTTAATCGATCCCAGAAACAGAAACACGGAATGGGTTGTACACTTGACACGAGTGGTGGATGTCATCAACAACGAAGTCACCAGACTCGTGGGCAAAAGACCCGTCGAAGCCATCAAAATGAAATCAGTCGAATCATCACCAGCGGCGGCGGCACGTCGCAATAAAACAGAAAAAACATTACCGGACTGGGTCAGCGTTAGGTACTTGTACCAGCCGGGAGAATACTAGGGAGACAGCAGAAAATGCGCCACCGATCCGATATGGTCCATGAAAATGTACAACGTAGACCTTGTCGACATCGAAGCCGGCGAACCGAACTTGTACTACTTGAAAGACGGACCGCCGAGAGCATTCTTCAGAGAGGAGTTGATGATCGTACCTCACGACACAGTACCTTACACATCACCCACCGTGTGATGATAGTTTCTCGTCATGATTTTTTATCAGTCTTGCATGCCTATTCTTCTGCTTAATGTTGCCAGCCAGCCAGCCACCCGTACGCCAAGCCGAGAGAGACACACGCACACGCACTGCGACTCGTCCGCCCACAGTGCTCGGCGGAGCAACCACACCCGAGACGACCCGAGCCTTTTTCCCGACTGACCCCATGCTCACTTAAAAGTCAATATTTCAGAAACTATTCGACTGAGTTTCATCAAATTGTGCATGCACCTCAGTAGTAGTATACACAATGGGGCTACGGGATTAGGGACTTCCCAGGGGCTCAATTTTTTAAATTGAGGGACCTGGTCCCGTAGCCCCATTGTGTATTCTACTTGTGACAGGAAGTGGTTCCGCAGTTTGTGTAGACATAGCAGGTGACAAAATCTTAGGAGAATCGGTTTAGAGCCAAGTTAAATTCGTCTGACAGATTACAGATGATTTGGCTATTGGGGAGTTGAATCAGACGATGTTTTGGCTATGGGTGCACAGGTTTCCTTAATTTCAGATCTTAAGACAAGCTTTTTGGCGTCAGGTAAACTAATGTTTTGAGTGAACTGTATCTGATTGATCTCCATCTGCTGTTTCCAGATCGGACAATCTTTTGAGAATGATGAGTGATTGTCTGCACAGTTGGTACATTTCTTAAAGTAACTGTCACAATCTTCTGTTGTATGTGTCTTCTCAAAACAGTGAGCACACACAACAGACAATGTGCAAGTTCTAACACCATGACCAAACTTCTGGCATTTAAAACATCTTAAAGGATTTGGTGTAGGTGTCAACATTAATGTGACAATATCCTGCCTTTACTGATCTGGGAGCATTTGGAGAAGAAAACAAAAACAGGTACGTGTTAGTCTGAATGGTTTCCTGTTTTTTACGTGTTGTAAAACGCTTAACGTATGTCAAACAATCGATATCTACCTCTGATGATTCCTTTGCTGGTGTTCAGTGTCTATGAGGACATACTGATACTGGAATGCCGACGAATGTTTCAGTAGTCATCAGGTTAGTTGCCTGTTGTCTTTTGCTGCACTCAACGAGTAATGCACCTGAACCTAAACGTTTGATATTATTAACGTCACCGGCAATGCCTTGTATGCCTTTCTGTATTGCAGAAGGGTTCAACCTTAATCTTGTGCTATCGTGAGTCTCAATCACGAGAAATGTGGCTAGTAATCAATGGATGTGGACAGTCGTTGGTCGTTACCATCTAGATCAGTGTCAAGTGGACGTTTTGTTTTTTTAAGGGGGGTTTCGTATGCCATGGTTAGTTTTTAATGGTTCATCATCCGAGCTCCCTACCCACCACGGATTATCACAAGGACAATGCTAAAACAAGTGGGTTTTGCAGCACCAAGGATACCCGGATGATATACTCCAGCAGAAAAATTAAAAGGTTAATTATTCCACTAGATTGGCCCATGAGCCACCGCCTTCTGGGCATACGACTCTAGGCAAAAACATGAACGTGTGTATTTGAATTTCTGAAGACTTAAAATAGCATCTCAAAATGATGTGCATTATTACATAAAGTAATGCTCAGGGCTTGGCGTGACCAGCCGATTGGTTGAACCGGGCCCATTCAACCACCCGTCTAGGTGAAGTTAGGGCCGAAGTGGTGTGTTGGGCAATAAGAACACTGTTCCTGGTACCTATGCCCTCAACCACCAGAATCCCTGAACACACTACACCCGGTCACAGGTGGGCTCGATCCCGTCACCTCAAGCTCGCTGGATCACTAGCCTGGCGCCTTAGCCAGCTCGCCCACAATGCCCCCCACAATGATATGGCTGAAATATTGTCGATGTGACTTAAAATCTTAACTTACTCACTCACAATGTGCCTGAATTATGCCTGAGTGCGGAGTTATCGGATGATAATTGATCATAGTTAGTCTAATGGTGAGTGGGTGAGATAAATCACTGCGTATCTGCATTCCAGATCTCTACACCGTTTATTCGCTGGGTCACACAGTGAATCAAACCCTGGCCACGGATAACTCGTGGCCGAGCATCATAGATAAACGTCTGTTATCTCTGATGATACATAGGTCATCCACACACTGATACACAACAGCTTGTCACTGTTATCAAACAGTTGGATTCCCTCAGTCAGTATGGCATGCATCTCAAACTTTCCTCTGGTCTTAATACTGTCAATTTTACTGTTCAACGCTGATGCTGCAATTAATAAGGCCTACGAATGTCGTCTCCTGGTTGGTGATCGTATACTTGACCTGACCCCATTGTCACACAATGATAACACCCCAAGGTAGGTCTTTTCCAATGCTGATTGGCTGAAATATTGCCGATGTAACTTAAAATCTTAACTCACTCATACTCACCTTTTCCAATGCTGATACTATGTAAGTCCCATTTCATTCAATTTTGTTTTTCATATCACGTGTTTTTAATCGTAAAATGTGTCTTATTTTAATGTGTTCTCCTGAGAGGGTACGTAAGTCCCGAAACATTTAAAGTCAACCTCAACTTACCAGATTCTTTAAACGTAGTATTTTTGTGCTTTCAACTTAGGGCTAAATTCGACTACAATCGCCAGGAGCTGAAGGGATGATGTAAATCCAGCTAGGGTCCATGCAGGTAGCAAAAGTAATATAAGTCCCCGTGGTCCCTAGTATGGTGATCTGCCTTCAGTTGTTGGCGATCTATAGCCTGTTTTTATCTTGTATTGTCCTTATAGTGCTATTAGTTTTAACTTTCCCCGCTAGCTCTAACTCTAATTGTGATATTCTAGTTGTTTTACTGTCCTTCGATGACAGCTTTTTATAATATACACATATTCCATTTCAATGTCATATATGTTCTCGTCACGATATGGCTGAAATATTGCCGATGTGATGTTAAATATTAACTCACTCGCTCACTCACTCTTATTTTAAGGTATGGCTAATTTTGACTTCAATCGCCAATCGCTGAAGGGATGATGTAAATCCAGCTAGGGTCCATGCAGGTAGCAAAGGTACTGTAAGTCCCCATAGTCTCTAGTATGGTGATCTACCTTCAGTTGTTGGCGATCTATAGCAACTTCATAGTTAAGATATTTTTAGATTTTCATACTAGTTTTACAATTGCATCTGCGATATTCTTGTTATTTTTACTGTCCTTCGCCGACAGGTTTTTATATTGATTTCTTATGACATTATAACTTGTTAATAGTCACGATATGGCTGAAATATTGCCCATGTGACTTAAAATCTTAACTCAATCATACTCACCTTTTCCAATGCTGATAGTATGTAAGTCCCATTTCATTCAAAGGTGTTTTCATATTACGTGTTTTTAGTCGTAGAATATGTGTTTTTTTAATGTATAGCTAATTCTGGCTACAATCGCCAATCCTTGAAGGGATGGTGTAAATCCAGCCAGGGTCCATGCAGGTAGCAAAGGCGCCATGATCCCCAGTATGGTGATCTACCGTCAGTTCTTGGTGATCTATAGCACGTTTTTTATACAGTATTGTCTTTGAAAGTTAAGAGATATTCATACTAGTTTTACAATTATATCTGTGATATTCTAGTTAATTTTACTGTCCTTCGCCGACAGGCTTTTATAATTTTCAATGTTTTGTGTGTGACATTTTAACTTGTTATTAGTCACGATATGGCTGAAATATTGCTGATGCGACTTAAAATCTTAACTCACCCACTCAATGCTGATTTTCCGTAGCCATTCTCAACTGAATCACAAACTTGACACCCAGACAAACCTGGGGTCAACACCAGATCTCTATTTTTATAATAATGCAATAATAATACTTCCTTTGTGGCATTGTGTTTAACAAATCCTTAGGTTAAATAATTTAGTAATATTTTTAAGCCCAGTAGTGCAGTGACGCGGTGGAGGGATTGTATAGCACCGTGTCCGGATAGTGAAGCAATGTGAAGATGAGTTGACTGCACTGCTCGCTCATATTGATCTTGTGCGATTTATTCTAAACGCTCAATGGTTTAACAATTCGCTGGCTTTCCTCTTCAGGGAACTATGCCATGACTTTGTTCTTTGATTGAAGAATCGCTGACACTGCAGAGCCTTAGTATTCAGAGGGATCTACTTGCTGTTACACACTCTTGAAGTATTAAAGATGATTCTTTTCAGATTCCGTGACATTCCCGACGCTGCTTCACCTAACCTCCGGTATTCCTGGAATCCGTGTGAGCCATTCAGTGAAGGTAGCGTGTGTCAGGGAGTGGAGGTAAGGCAATGCCAGCCTGAGTGAGTGAGTGGGTGGGTGGATGAGTGAGTGAGTGAGCCTGTTGGGGGTGAGGGATAAGGGACTCACTCACTCCATAAAGCCATGAAGAGACAAAGATTGTGAGGGATTCGTTGTTGAGAATCTATTCATAGTATCCCATGCATGTCACCTGTGAATGAAAGGCTGATACCATGTCAATTTATGTATATAATGATAAATCTGTTAGCAGTTCCATATGTACAAATTATTAGTTTCACTTGCGAGTGAGTGATAAATGATTTTTTCATCGTCACTGACATATTGCTGAAGCGAAAAATACCACCAAAAAACAATACATTTTCTTTCATTTCAATTTGTCATTTACAATTATTTGAAAATGTAGAATTTAATCCTCACTATTAAATGACTGATAGCATGACACCTTGGTATTATCTTGGTACTATTCAGCTATGTCAACTCTCCCCGACAACAGGCGACGACTATGTGTTAGGTAGGGGAGGCAACTCCAGATTCGTGGTTGAGAGTCTACAAAGAATATTCTTTGTCTACAGCATACTATCCGACCAAGGTCAAACAAGGTAAGAATGCAGCTGTCTTCTTTCACACTTCGAAGTACCACGTTTGCCGGCACGTCATCAAACGTATGATTATGGATTAGAATCACGTTTCGAGGTTTGTCGGCACCCGGTATTCGTGGATCGCCTAAGACCAGCAGCAATTTGGCCTTTCATTTTGCTTTGGCGTGTACAACTTGAGTTGATAATTGAACAATGGAAATTTGAAAATAAGATGAAATTCTATGTTGATCAAATCACACAAGACCTATACTCGTTCACAGCTTGGGGTGCTAGTGAGTGAGTGAGTATGATTTTACGGCGCTATTAGCAATATTCCAGCAATATCAGGGGGGGGGGGCACCAGAAATGGGCTTCACACATTGTATCCATATTGGGAATCGAACCCGGTTCTTCGGCGTGACCAGCGAACGCTTTAACCACTGAGCTACCCCACCGCCCCATACACGGCATGAGGTTGGGTGGAGATCTTGTAACCACTAGGCTACCGGGTGCTTCAGTGGAAAGGTCTGGATGATCTTTAAAGCAAATTGTTGCTGGGGCAAATTTAGTTCTCCAGTTATCAGATTTGTCTGTTGGAAATAGGCGTGTGTTTCGTAGACCATTGTTTCTAAACCACACATGTTTTCTATCATTTACTATAATGTATAATACTTGTGAGTGAGTGAATGAGTGAGTTTAGTTTTACGCCGCAATCAGCAATATTTCAGCTGTATGACGGCGATCTGTAAATAATCGTTCTGAACCCGACAGTTCTGAACCATGACATGTGTCAACCAAGTCAGCGAGTCTGACAACGCGATTCCGTTATTCGCATCTAACGACAAGCATGGATTACTGAAGATCTATTCTAACCCGGATCTGAACGGGTAATAATACTTTGTATTGACATTAAAGTTCCTCGAGTATTAGTGGGACTTGCTTACCAACTTTTCATTTGTATTGATTCCTGATATCGTGTCAATAGTTTGCTTTGTGTTACAGGGAGACGTATATTGAACTGGTGTGTAACGCTTCAGTCGATGCTCAACTTGTATTCCAGGAAGAAAATCCACCACTGACATATGTGAGCACCGGCATTTGATTTTGACTTCATACAAATAACTTAACTGAAAGGATTGTAATGTTTAAAGGAAACTTTTTTGTTTGACCAGTGAAGGTCCGGGTTAGAAAATTGATCTGCAGTAACCCATGCTTCTCGTAAGAGGCGACTAACGGGATCGGGTGGTCAGGCGCGCTGATGTGGTTGACACATGTCATCGGTTCCCAGTTGCGCAGATCGATGATCATGCTGTTGATCACTGGATTGTCTGGTCCAGACTCGATTATTTACAGACCGCCGCTATATAGCTGGAATATTGCTGAGTGCGGCGTAAAACTAAACTCACTCACTCAATCAATTTGTTTTGCATATGGTTGTGGTTTGGTGGTTACTTGTTGTTACCCAGCCTGGTACAATTAGGGGATAAAACGGAAGGCTGGTTAGTTCGGAGTTACTATACAGGGTATGAGTGAGTGAGTGAGTGAGTGAGTATGGTTTTACGCCGCTTTTAGCAATATTCCAGCAATATCACGGCAGGGGACACCAGAAATGGGCTTCACACATTGTACCTATGTGGGGAATCGAACCCGGGTCTTCGGCGTGACGAGCGAACGCTTTAACCACTGAGCTACCCCACCGCCCCATACACGGCATGAGGTTGGGTGGAGATCTTGTACCTTCTCCATGGTATAGAATCGACAGTAGTCGGTTCCGGGACAAGCAGTCACACATACACCAATACACAAGGGGAGAGAAGCAATCCGCTATGACGTCATTTTAGCTTCCCTCAAGACTGAGACTGATTATTGCACCTATTGTATGAAATCAGATCCATTCACTCGAAACGTACAGCCCACCTATACATAGAAACGACATGAAATAATGTTTGTGTATGAAATAGTCCCGCTACATGGCTTCAGTCTATAGGTAATCGTTCGTGGATACGAAAATCCAGTGATAGATATTATGAGCTTTCTGGTATGCCGTCGGGTTAGGCATGACGTCACAGAGCCTTATGAACTGTACAGGTGAGTGTGTAGCAATTCACACCAGGAGAATAACACTCATTGTTACTTTTACAGCACATGGTACTGACAAGCAAGTACGCATGTCCCCACACTGTGCCTTCCAACAGCACAGTTTCACCTACAACCTCGACCGCCAGTACTACAGCGTCATCTACAACCACGACTCCCATTAGTACAGCGTCATCTACAACGACGACTCCCAGTAGTACAGCGTCATCTACAACCACGACTCTCAGTAGTACAGTGCCACCTGCAACTAGGACCACCGTGACACCCCCGTTCCCGACACCAACATCGCCTCCAAGGCCAAACATCTTCAATCTAGAGACAATCACAATTCTCCTAGGATGCATATTGTAAGTACTGCAGTATCAGCAATGCAAGTATACTTACTTGTAGCCCAGTACAACACCCAACAATATCTTCCTCGCTGGCCCAGTTCACAATATATATGTGTTTAGTATTCCTTGATGAATATCCATTAACGTCAGTAACGCATGCTGCATTAGTAATAGTCCGCTTAAATGGTGCTCATATCCAGGAACATTGCCTGGTCACGGCGCTACGTACATTACTATCTCCGGTCATAGGACACTATCGTACTTTCCGATGCTTTTTTAACTCCAGCCATGCTGCCTGTTAGGCGCAATGAACTAAACACACATTACCAGCACATCCTCACGGGTACCCATTTTACAGCTGGGTGAACTGAGAGAATGTTGATCTAAGTATCTTGTCCAAGGATACTACGCAAATGGGCCTTCCTCGGGACCCGAACCTAGCTGCCTCCACCGGGGATCGAACCCGGGCCTTCAGCGTGATAGGCAGACACCTTACCACTGCACTACTGCGCTCCATTATGAAAGACATTTACATTGCATTTATGAAAGCGCCGAAATCTGCAAGGGATTTTGCTATATTTCTGTGACAACACTTTCTTTGAAATCAGGGCCAGTGTGTTACGTGTAGAAGTAAGGATCGTAAAGAATCTTCCCAAATTGACTGACTAAATATATGCATGCCAGAATATGCAAAGCACCAATGACCATAAATAATCACTCTCAAATTAACATCATGGTCAATCAGACCCAGTCATGCGTAAGGGGCGTAAGTCGATAAATTGTTTAATCATCTTCCCTTTTCAGCCTATCTCTCCTCTTCCTTATTTTCTTGGTGTTTATTGGCCTCATCACTCGTCGCTAGAGGACTTCAAACAGCACGAAACAGTGGTCACCACCCGTCCCTTTCCGTAACCTGCAGGTGACCGTGACCATTAAGGTGTCCTAGAACTGACACAAGTTGTCACGAAGACAATACAAGACTCACTCAATTAACCAGCAAAGCAATAAATTACGCTACGACGGGGTGTTTTGTTGTCGATATCTGCGCTGTTCCTGAGGGAGGCCATATGGATCTGGTGGTACATTGTATAACGATGGCGTGGGAAGGTGCTCATAACATCAATCACTGGATTTGGTAGTACACACTAGATTATCTGGGAATCACAATCAGATCAGTGCACTAGGTGCATGATGTGATTGACCATATCCATTTTGATGTAACAAAACTTTAGATGGATGAGCACCAACAGCCTGACCTTAATGAACAAGATTTACTCGCTGCTGCACTCTTAGATCCCGATACAGTTCTTCGTCCTCATTCAGATTCATTACAGATACAGAGGCACAAACAAATAGACACACACATTCACAGAGGCTCATACATCCACGCAGTCGTACACAAACAGGTTTACAGAGAGACACAAGGGCACACACACGCACACACACACAGAGAGAGAGAGACACACACACACACACAGAGACACACACACACACATCCAGTAATGGACGCACTTCGTGGCCAGAGCGTTGCAATTACCCATACTACCCTATGTGGGCATCTAGAGAGAGATCTGGTAGAGATAGCGTACCAAAGCGGTGACAGGCTGCTCATCATATGTTACCCTGCTAAGATTATGAGGTATATATGAACGTTAAGCTCGTAACATTGTGCACAACGCGATCGTTGTAATGATTTGCCTAACATCAGATCTGCCTGTTAAACGCTCGAGTGTTCGGTGGTTATGCCACTAACTAATGCAAATATGGTCAACTGGAATGGGTTAACACGAAAAAGCGAATTGTCATTCAGATTATAGCATGGGGAATGAATGCAAAAGATTATGCAGGATATTCAATAGTGAGTGAGTGAGTTTAGTTTTACGCCGCACTCAGCAATATTCCAGCTATGTGACGGCAATCAGATCTGGACCAGACAATCCAGGGATCAACAGCATGAACACCAATCTACGCAATTGGGATACGATGACGTCAACCCAGCCAGTGAGCCTGACCATCCAATGCCGTTAGTCGCCTCTTACGACAATCACGGGTTACTGAAGATCAGTTCTAACCCAGGATCTTCACGGGTGATATTCAATAAGGTGGCTTTCAGTCTCTGTGTACATCTTTCACACACTAGTGCCCTTGTTGGCATTCAACAACAAAATAGGTCCCCTGCACTTGCGCATGCGATGATGGTGATGTTGATTTTTTTTCTGGTGATGTTTATGTTGATGCTAATATTGATGGCGAAACGAACGGTGATGCTGGTTTTGATAGTGACCATGGCGGCGAGGACTTTTACACCAGGTCAGTGTTTCAATATTTCCAGGCCATAGTGATACTTGTTCTTGACTTGAATATCAAACAAGAACAACAAGTCCCAACGGATTTGCCGAATTTTGTTTCTAATCCAAGCATTGTACTGATTTTAGTGGTTCTGCCAGCTCTCATGGAAATTCCTATTACATTCAGTTGACATAATCAAAATTATTGAGCGTCAGTCTACAAAATGATGACACGATGACGCGCATCAACAAACACAGTGAGCCAGACCTCCAGATGCTCCTGCGACAGGCATGGGTTCTAACCGTGATCTTCACGATTTTGAACTTTACTTTGTCCGTGTGCTCAAAGTAGTCTTCCAATCTTTCTCTAAGCCCCAAATACCTGCCACATCTACCTGCAACTTTTACAAACAGACTAGTTGAGATAAAACTTGTTATGTTTACACAGGGCGTCCTTTAGACTAGATATTGAAAGCTGAATGGTGATGTGCGGTTCAGCATTACTTCAAAATATCTCATTTTCAATGTCCATACTTGTGTTAATCAATGTTGTACATTTCTGGTTTGGGCACGTTACAATATTTAACACATTACCCTAAAGATGCCATCATCTCTGATCCTCAAGATGTCGTCATGGTACCCACAGTACCTAAAGCGGTAATACTGAAATAACTGACTGACTTACTTATTGATTTATTTTAAACGGAACAACTTTAAATAGAGATTTAGATCAATGTCATACATAGAGAATAATAAACGATGTCCCGTGTAATACCATATTTATGAAAGGAGTGAATGGCTTGTTAGCTAATGCTCGAAACATTAAGAAAATACTATCTCAGAATTCAACTTACAGGACGAGTGCATTGCGCCGTCATAACAGGGGTCAGAGTATGAAATACATTTCCTTTGTGATTGTCAACAGTCGTCTATTTAATTTGATTTTTAAAGATAAACAAGGGGTATGTAAAAGGGCAACCGTGTCAAGAACAGTTGACTTCGAGATGTTCTGTGAAAGGCAGCCGACATTTTGTTTTGAAACTCCATTTACTTTATCTCGTACTCAGTGATCATATTCCTATTGTTCCATTTGAAGTCACATAATACTTTCGAAGGAATAAAACTACCACTACGTCTAATATATGTATCCAAAAGTGTGGATGAAAGAATCACAATAACTGTAATTTGCTCCACAATCTTCACCATCTGATTGAGTCTTACCGAAAGGGAATTCGTTATCTTGGTGACCCATGGGGACAACATGAACGGGAGGTGTCAACTTGACCTTGGCATAAATCAGGGCGACAAAATCGGTCCCCAGCAGCAGTCTCAAAGAACCTTCATCCCCGAAGGAAAATCTAATGCTGAAGCAGACATATACAGCATAGGCAGTCAATGCTATCAGTGAGAATATAACCACAAGCATGCTCTTGTTGCGAACTATCTTCTTGCAAAGAGACACTCTTGCCCAAACAAATTCCGCTCCACATCGTAGATAATGTTCTCTGCTGTCAAATGCAGAAAATGATACTCATCTTCAATTTGCTGTAGCTGACACTTGGAGCAGACTAATGCATTTCTATCAACGTTTTTATTAAACCGATACTGCTGAATATTCCACTTATGTAAAAGACAACGAAACTTACATAACAGTCAGGAGAACTATATATTGTATAGTGTATATTGTAAATCAGAAACGCCACTCCCAGCAGTATTCCAGCTGCTTGGTGGCGGTCTGCAAATAAACGCGTCCAGACCAGACAAGCCAATGATCAATAGCGTAAGCATCGATCTACACATTTGGGATACGATGACCTGTGTTAACCACGTCAGCAAGCCTGACCACCCTATAGCGTTAGTCGCCCCTTACGACAGGCATGAGTTTCTGAAGACCAATTCTAACCCGAATCTGAACGGTCAAACCTCAAGCTGCTCATTTTGTTTCAAACTACGTTTTGTGTGGTTACTTTGCAGTAACATATTCAACACTGAAACCTTTTTATGTTTATCTTGAAAACACTTTCAAGAGTTAATTTCCCACGAGTGGAAAACGTAGAAATTACACTACATGTGCAAAAGTGCTTAATTGTACCAACACTGAATATCAACTTTGGCGTCAGGACGAATATACAGAAACATCGCACAAAAGGACACATATACGGACACTCATCGCAAATGTAATTAATATTTACTCAAAGGTGATATCCATATGATGTTGGTGTAATTAATAGATACTTTCTCCCGAGCATATTTCCCAATGATTTGGGACATTCCCAGTGCCCTACTCCAAGTTCAAGAAGAGTTTAATATAGTCACATAATCAACTCGAGTTCCTTACCTTCGCATTATTCACAACTTTGGGACATCAATTAATGGTCAATATACAATATTTTGATTCCAGGAATTTCGAAATACTCGAGTCAGCTGATCAGCCCATCAGTTACAAACTAGCATTTTAGCACTGCAATAGGCTTCCCCGTGCCCTCCTCTTTGCCTGGAAACGAAAGACCAAAATCATAAAAAATGGAATCAAAAGTTATTCACTATAGAAACGACTATAGAATACAGAAGCGACTGAATCCTTTCCACATCCACGAAAAAGGAGAATCCTCTGTATGTGTGGATACGAATTCCGGCGACTTGATATTCAAATAAGACTGAGTGAGTGAGTAAGTTATTTAACGTCACAGCCACATCGTGACGAGAACAATTCAATTTATATCAACATAACAATCAATAAATTCAGACATAAAAAATCCGTCATCGAAGGACTTCAAATAAGACATCATTCGAACCCCCGTGATAACCCGTATACTTGCTTGAGTGAAGCACACAATTTATCTGATTCATATAATACCAAATAACTTACATGATATACAGTTTGAGATACCTCTATCTATGCATATGGGATTGTTAAAAAAATTAACTGCCTGAAAGAAGTTCTCTGCAGATTACTTCATTTGCATATTCATATCCATACCACAAACCATTCTATGATAATGCTTTTGTAATGGCAGAACCACATTGGAGTCGGTATAAATGGGCGTAAGTAGACATGTACACCATGGTCGCCATGGAAAGGCTAAAAGGTTTCGAGGTATACTAAAAAATACAAGGGTCAGATATGTTTCGCAATCATAAAAAATCTCTGTTAAATGCAGAGACAACTTTACAATTCTAGCAATAACATGAACATGTATTTCGAATCACTATCAACAGTACCAGAATCTGTACTTACTAAGAAAGTGTAATCCCAAATATAATATATTTTACCACTTTCTAAATGACATTGTGTAATCAAGATGATATCAGGCTTAAGATAAGATAAGATGAAAAAAGTAGTACACGTTACTATCAATGTTTAAAGCTGAGTCTACCCTTCTCTCTCATTGGTACCAATATAAAAACATGTAAAGGTAAGTCATGTGTTCCCATTAAAATTAACAGGAACACAGTCAGTAAAAAGAAGTGCTTTTGGTAACTCAATGGTATCACTCATTGTGATTTGATCTGTGAATATCTGGAATGAATCCTTGGTTTGGTAATTGGCTAAACAGTCACTCAAAAATTAGGTGTCTTTGTTTGTTGTTTAACGCTGCAATCAGCAATATTGCAGATATATGACGTAAATAATCGAGTCTGAACCAGAGAATCCAGTGGTCAATGGCTTGAGCATGGATCTACGTAACTAGGATACAAGAACATCTGTCAGACAATCAGCGAATCACCATCCGATTTCGTTAGTTGTCTTTAGCGACAAGCATTGGTTGCAGAAGACCAAAAATGACCCTGGTCTTTACGGGTATTGAGATAACTATCATTAAACTAATCAGACCTTTGGATTGTGTTGGCGTCACACTGGAAGCTGGTAGCTGTATCCATAGAGATGCAACACACGTACACTATGGATGCTCAGCTTCTTTATCACAGTTGCACGCAGATGGGTAGCCTATTGGTTTTGATTCCTCATATGGGTACAATGTGCTGAGCCAATTTTAGGCGTTACAGTCAACCCCAAAATGTCACCACAAACGTAACGTAGAAGATCCTTACCCTTCTATACATACCCTTCGAATATTATTCCCATTTGTCTGGTAAAATACCATCTTGTAATAACCCACTAAACTCAGGACATGTTTCACACTGTGTAAATGTAGCTCGCCACGTTACAATTGATCATTGTAACATGCCAAGTTCAGTGGAAGCGGCAGATATATCTAATTGTCACAGACGGATATTTCAGTGAAAAGAATTCTTTGAAACGTACCCACATGTATTGATAATTTCATTACGTGAGTGAGTGAGTTTAGTTTTACGCCGCTTTTAGCAATATCCCAGCAACATTACGGCGGGTAACACCACGAATGGGCTTCACACATATGGGGAATCGAACCCGGGAATCAGTCCATAGAAGAACCAGGTGTGAATCTAGCAACCATCATAGAAGAAGTTAACACGTTTCTTGTTAAAATTAACTACGTTCACAATTCAATACAACGGTATCATCAACATCATCATCATCATCATCATCTAAACCGAGTGGCAGTACATGTCCAAAACGATATCTAGGAGAAACTAGGATGACTAGGAATCAGACCATACAAGAACTAGGTGCGAACCCAGTGAGTGAGTGAGTGAGTTAAAATTAAACGTCACCTCGGCAATATTTCAGCCATATAGAGACGAGAAATGTTGGGCATACACAATGAATACAAGTAGGTAAATAACCAGTCATCAACGGACTGTAAAAGAACTAGAGTATCACAGATATGGATATGAAACTAGCATGGAAAACTAAAACATTTGAATTAAAGCAGACAATACAATATAAAACAACTGAAGGTAGATCACCATACTAGGAACCATGGCATGGGCGGATCCAGGGCCCCTATTCTCGAAAGTGTCCCATCTAAGACAGATCCTAAGTTGTTAAGACAGAAGTTAGGACATCCTACCGTAAGGATAAGACCCATTCTCGAAATGATCCTATACCTGTCCTAACTTGTGCTACCTATCCTAGCTAGGATAGCGAGCTCTTCAGTAGGTGAGATAGAAAAACCTTCATTTAGTTGGAGATTCTCCTAAATAATACCCATGATTCGTGGCATAAAAAACACATAATATAGGGAAATTCAGCTTTTGATGGACTTAGTAGATCTAGAAGAAATTATTCGATATTTTCATCACATTATAGTAATTGGAAAATTCATTTTTTGACAAGGCGATAACAATTTTACTTCAGAATTTGAAAGTCTGCCAAAAAGAAATAAGGATATTAAAGATATGTGTAAAAACATATTTTCATTGAATTTGTTTTTTTTATGAAAATCATGACTTGAACTCTCATTATGCGTCATCTCACAAACTGAAAAATTCACCTAGGAAATAAACAGGAGTTACTTCCCCTATCAAGTTGGCCTTGACATTGACATTAACGTGACTGACTGAAAAGAGCAATGTTGTGATTAAAAAGGCCGAGCATAGGTAAGAATTGAACAAATCTCTTTTGTAGATCTAAAGAATGCGTGCATTGCAACAAGTGTGTCTATTCATTACCGATTAATTGATAATATGAACTGAAGAAACTCTTCATAACTCATCAAAACTGTGTGCTGTTGTAAATTCAAATGTAAGTTTGACGAGTTATTTTGTTTGACGTCAAAATTGGTGAACAAACAAGTACCACTTTATGTTGACTTCCACTAAGATAGACTTAGGACACGCCAGAACCTATCCTAGTATTTGTCCTAAGTTAGGACATCCTAGGGCTAGGATACTTTTCGAGAATAAGGTAGGACACCTATCCTAGACCCTAGGATCAAAGTTAGGACATCCTTGGGCTAGGATCCTTTCGAGAATAGGGGCCCAGGAATTTTGAAGGGGGGGGGGGGGGGGAATAGTCAATATGTTCTTAACTGATTTTCAAAAGAGGGGGGTTCGAACCCCCCTGAAACATACACACACAAACCCACACACACCCAGCCCCTTGGATCAGCCCATGCATGGGGACTTACATTACTTTTGCTACCTGCATGGACCCTAGTTGGATGTACACCATCCCTTCAGCCGCTGTCATATCTCTCATATGTAACAACACATCCCAGTCTATAACCTTGACCGTAATCCTCAATACAACCTATGAGGGACTTTCTAAATATTCCCAAAGAGCATTTTGCACAAGCGAAATTATTACCAAAAGATCAAAGAAAACCGCAAATAATTTGCTGACTGGATTACAAGTGACAGCTGAAGATGTATTCAAGCACATGTTTGGGGCCATGTGCATACGATTCTGACGACCTTGGTGATAGTTCCTGTATGTATTAGGATATGTAGGGATCAATAACTTGACATTGCATAATAGCTACGTGTATATAAGCAGGTGACGTACAGTCAGTGTTTGTCTGCCAGCAGATTTCATCAAGACAGACGCAAAGGTGAGTGAATGAGTTTGTGACACTTTTAGTACTGTTACCGCATCATGGCAGTGGACGGAAATGGTGTTACGAACACACTCTTTAGCCACAAGGCTACCGCTTCACCTGACTGAAAAGGTAGTTTCAAAAGTTACTTTGTATACTCTTTCAAAAAGTAGTGAACCTGAACTTTCAATTTGGATAAGAAGTATAAGCGTTAACAAACCTTCCAAAAGACAGACATCGTATAGGTGAGTGACGGAGTGAGTGAGTCAACAGATAAATTGATAATAATGGATTTAAATTCAAAAGAACTGTAGATAAAATAACTAGATAATCACAGATAAAACCAGTACTGAAATTTGAAATCGAGGACAACACAATATAAAACCAGGCCATATAGCGATGAAAACAAGGTAATCAATGTAAAATATCTGTCGACAAAGGACAGTAAAACCAACTAGACTATCACAGATATATATTTAAAACTAGTAATATAATCTGAACTACTTTAACTATAGCGGACGATACAATATATAAATGGGCTACAAACTGGCAACAACTGAAGGTAGATCACCATATTAGGGACCATGGGGACTTACATTACTTTTGCTACCTGCATGGACCCTAGTTGGATTTACACCATCCCTTCAGCCGCTGGCGATGGTAGGAAGATTTAGCCGAAATTAAAAAGAATAAAAATACTACGTTTAAAAATCCGGTAAGCTTAAATTTAACTTTGAAAGTACTGGGACTTACGTACCCTCTCAGGAGGACAATAATCTTACAATACTTCAACCCCCTTTGAGGGTACAGCCACCAACAATCTCGGTTACAATTCTAAACTGCCAATAATAAAATATTTATCGTTCTACAAACTGTTCATCAATATTTTTATTATAACTCTATTTCTTTAAAAAAATGAATAAGTAAATGAAAATTAACAGTACTAAAATGATCCTTAACATTTTTTACAGACATGTTATGAACGCACCACCAGTTCTCTTTAATGCCAGGGGCGGTGGGGTAGCCTAGAGGGTTAAAGCGTTGGCTCATCACGCCGAAGACCCGGGTTCGAATCCCCACATGGGTACAATGTGTGAAACCCATTTCTGGTTTCCCCCTGCTGTGATGTAGCTGGAATATTGCTAAAAGCGGCGTAAAAACAAAACTCAGTCAGTCAGTCTTTAATACCACCCCTACACACAACGCATGGGATGCACGTGCACAACGCAGTAGCCCCCAATACATGTGCATGGGGTGTCATTCTTGATTTTGACGGTTTCAAGAAGGCCGATAAACCACTGTAGACCATTACCTTTGACAATCATCTTGCATCACACAATTGTTAGGGTTTGTTTCAAGCCGTTTTTGCGTACACATGTTAATATCGCGTCATACATCAATCATCTTTCAAGAGCCATTACTGTACAAAAAACTGGTCATAAGGAAGTGCAAGTCGTGATGCACTCTCAAACATTCATTATTATCAGATAAACATTGTTTGACTCTGATATATCTCCGAATTTTTTCCAATCGTAAATCAGAAATAAAGTTCACGTACTTTTTTAAGAGTATAATTTATCAATGTCTTTAATGAGGTACATATAGGCCTGAAACGTCTTCACAAAGATAGAAACCCGCATTGTGCATCTTTCCAGCATTGTATTTGAATAGTTTGTTCCTAACATTCAGAAGAGAGACCTTCAAGATAACACGTGCTTTTGGTTTATTATCCCTAGCAAGGTATACACTAGATTACTATCAACGGTATTACTAGACACAATAGCAGCGTCCTTTGGCATTGTAGTGCCAAGGTATATCAAGAAATGTTTCGGGAAATGAAAGCTGTCTATTCCTTTCTCTCGATGAATCGGAAAGTTTTTATTATGTTTAACAACCGATGTTTTTCAATGTAACAATTCACGTTTAAAAATGTTATTTGATCACGGACTCCTTTCTGTGCTGCAGATAACGACTTGCAATGATGCTTCTCTTCGTTTGTCTCTTGTGCCTCCCACTGTCGGTTCTCGGTGATGACAGAGACGCCCACCTGTATAGAGTCGACATCTATATGCCTCCCGAGAAGGGGAGGTACGAGACGGCGGCGATACGTAAGATTAATGACAAACTGAACGATCTTACTGACATCAAGGTTCTCTTTTCATTTAAGGTCTGTATAATTTTTAAAAATAATATGTTAATAACACACAACACAACATATATGACAAGAATTTTTGTTCTCATGCTACAGGTTTCTTATAATAAATACCAAGAACAAGGCAATCTAGGTCGCTTCTGATTAGCCTGCCGTGTACATCAATGTGTATTTTGAATCAAAATCAGCCACACTGATATGTCTACTTAAAGATACACTAGCAAATTAAAACTATTTTAATAAAACGGAGATAAAATAATTGACCGTTGATGATATTTTAATTAATTGCTGTTTGTGTCACAGGAGCTCGGAAATCCAAGAATACTTCTTGGTAAGTCGAATATTTGTCAGTGCTCTACCAGCAAAGTAACTGTGCTTCATACAGAGTGGTGTAAAGGTTATGTGATTGAGAATAGCAAAATCGTTGCTCATTTATATTAATGTATTCTCTGACAAAACCCAAACCTGGTTATGGGAGACAGAGCGGGGTGGTGCAACATATCATCTGTGACCACCATTTACGTCGATAGAAGCTAGCCAGTGGCGGCGCATTTAATTGAAAAGAGCATTCATAACGGTTTGGTGTGGATTGTCAGTCGAAGTATGGCCCAGCTAAGCCAGGGTTATCGTATGGTTCTGGTCCTGCTGTAGGCCTTAATCCTTCTCATCCCAGGTATGTTCAGTAGGGGTGTAATCTGCAGAAACAGTGGCTCGAGGCAGTACATCCACTGCAACTGTTACAATTTGAATAATCATGTTTGAACACCACCTTAGTCTCTGTATTTGCAGGGGAGAGCATGATTTATAAAAATATGTGCTGGGGTAGCTTACGAAATTCATTGATGTATATCTTTGTCGGCCCATACTCTTCCATGCACATTTCCAGTCTTAGCCCGTTCAAGGAGGCAATCCCTGAAATGTTCCCTTGGTCTTGGGTGACTCTAGACCCATGTAATACCATCACAGCTGTCTTTTGTGAAGTATGTACACACCTGAAAATAGTAACTGCTCAATTTTCTGAACCTTGTTTGGTCACTACACCAAGCTATGCTTCGCCTACTGAACTATCAACTGGTTCTGGCACTAAGAGGCGGCAAGACAGGAATCGTTAATGTGGTAGTTAAGAATTGATTCAAAGGAAGCATCAGCCGAAAAAGGCTATCTGGTTTGACATCACGTTGAGTTTGCTTGTGTTGTAAATAACGTCTCCAAAGAGATGATATTGTGTTCCGATGTCGCTTCATAACAATCCTGTTGGCAACATACCCACGGCGAGAAGAGGTCGGTTTTTTTTAAATTGTGGCATTTACAGTAAATGTAAGTGCGTGTTTGAACACCTGGCCGGTTAGCAACCAGTGTACGCTGTTCACGTTACAAATACAGGCAGCTATGAGTATGCAAGCTCCTAACATCCCGATATTGCACCATGTACTAACAGACATCTGCTATCTGGGAATGACGTATTAATGTCGAGGCTCTGTGTTCAGGGGTATGTATTAAAGCATAATATGTAATAGCATAATAAATCCATATTATTTTAAGTAGATATGAAGCACAGTTACTTTTTCGCGTCAGCTCATACACTGAATAATTAATTTCTTCATTTTCTCATGAATTCGTTTCTTTGAAGTACATTTTATATGTAAGTGATGACACTTGTTATTCTCTCATATCAAGGTACTTGCCTGCACCTTGTTTGTGCAAAAGTACTGTACGGTTATCTATCTTTAGTTGCTGGTGATCTGGAAGCCATTTTTTTATATTGTATTGTCTTGCACTGTGGCATAATTTTTTAACTTACATGCTAATTTGAAATATCTATATATGATAATCTCAGTGTTTTACTGCACTTTGTCGACAGTTGTTACAATATAATTTAATTTTGATCCATGTATTCGATTTTTAGTCAAGATATACATGGCATACTGCAGATGTGCCAATAAATATTAATTTACTTGCTCATTGATAAAATATTTTGAGCTTGGTTACCACCACCACAACGGGACGTTTTGTATATATAGTTCATTTTTATATTGTGTTGTTGGTTATTTATTTACTGTTTTAACTGCTTTAACCAGATAATATAGCTTTTATGCTGTGCATCGATGACAAACTTCTTATTGAAATTGCATTCAGTATTTATCTTCATATTCTCGTCACAATATGGCTGAAATATTGCCGATATCACGTTATATTTTAACTCACTCACTCACTCTTCTTAATAAATGAATTGTGTCACTGTAAACTGAGTACAGCAAAACTGAAGTGTCTTTGCACAATAATAGACTGTTTCTAAATTTACCATGTAGGCGATGTGTGTTGCAAACTAAACAACGACATTGCATGTTGCGCACCAAGCACTTATGTTTCTCACTCGCAGATTTCAATGTCTCGTGGTTCCACGCCTTCCATGTACATCATCATTCACGTGATCCTTTATCCGGGACATACATGTGTAATTTAGGCTACTCACTCACTCAGTTGACCGGACCAAACACATGTCGTCCGTCATAAAACAAATAAGAAAAACATATACAAATGTTAACAATCTGAAACATTTTGGTTTCTGGATGAAAGGGTTAAAACGTATATAGATACAGCTATCGATTATTAGGATGCAGTATATATTCCTCCTTTACCGATGAAATCGTGTAATATTATATCGGCTTTCAACATGCTTGACAGAATGATGGATGGAATTACAAGTGATTGCATTACATGCTGAAATGCATTTGTGCGATAGTATTGGTATTGCCGTTTACCAATTTACAAACACGTGCTGAACATTTTGATAGAATTCATCTGCATCTACATCAACGCATGGAACAATTCATATACACGTATCTATCCATGCTCATATTCATACTGGCAGAGGGAAAGTAACGATAAGAGTGGTATCCCCCGGTTGATGGATATGATCTTTTTTCATAATAAATGCACTGTTGTTTTTAGTTTAAATTTTCAAAGACACTGCTCTTTATTGTCGCAAGCCCTAATTAAAAAGACAAACAATAGAAAACAACAACATGATTTGGTCTAAGAAATAAAGCACTTGACAACTGGCAATTGTGTTACCACTGATTCATAAGTGTTGTTCCAGTTGTATTGTCTGTCACAGTTCCCCGCTTACGAATTATTAAGTTACTGTGAACTGTAGTGGACTTGACAATAGCTTACGTCATGAAAGAGCAATCTTGCTGTTCCTTTCAGATTCGTCAACTCTTGAGTACAATGAAATGCTGAAGTGGACGTTCGAGACAGATGTTGCCCTTGGCAAATCCGGCCAGAGACAGGCATGTTTCAAAACTCTCGCCGTATATCCAGTTGAGGTGCGCAGCTTTAATTTTCATGCAGTACAACATAAACGTTGACTTGCCTTTGCACGTGTTTGTGATGGGTGCCACCGATAGGACAGACTATTTCTGCCGTTTCTCGATCGCGACGGGCTGCATACTCATTCATAAACTGATGTTGACATAATATGAAACACTGAAGTTTTTGTGTCAGACATTTTTCGTGGTCATGAATTACGGTTTATTCGTGTGATTTAAACTAACACAAAATAGTTAAATTATGACATTTTTGAGAAATGAGATAACTTAACAGACCCATTTTACTTGCATTACTTCATGGTTTTAACAGAATAGGATTTCTTTTATAACAAACGGGAACAATTTAGAATATTGATATGTAAAAGAAATCTAGAACAGTTTCCATATTCAAAAGACATATTTAAATTGTAACATTCGGAGAAGGGAGTGTGCCTCTAGCAAATGGTGGTGAAACCAGGAGTTTGCGAAATACACCATTACTAGCACTTGACACAAGTACATGCAATTGCAAGTCAGTATTTCACCTGAAAAAGAAAACATATGAACACATTGTAAACTTAATTTGGGAAATTGTACATGTTTTACAAGGGATGCGGCACATTTGGAAATTTCCACGATAGGTTTATCATGCAGCTTTTCGTAAGCATTACTGAGGCCTTGAATGTTATAAACTATGTTATAAAGTTCTATAAAACCATCGAACAAATATTTTGCGAAATGTTTTGAAAATGTTTTTTTAAGAAATTTTCTTACGCTCAAATTTGTATGATTCCAGAAGCGTTGCACCAAAGTTTACTCGTGACACTCATTTACAAATTGTTTTGAAAAATGTTAAATTGCATTGTTTCGGAAATGTCTCAGAAATGTTTTCTGTAATTGTTGTTTAAACTTGTAAATGTTGTTCTGTGGTCTAAACTTTTCAAAGAAAGATATTGTCCAGTGGTTTGCTTCCGGTGTTTAAATATATAATTCATATTCGGTCATCGTTTTGTAAGGTACATTTGGAGATACGTGTTGTAACCATACGTGTCTGTATTTGTAGATGATTGCTATTGTCATATTTACGTTTTCTGTGCCCTATTGACGAGTATTTCTAAATTATTTCAGCTGCTGTACTTCGGCATACTTAGCCAACATGGCATAGACGAAATGGAAGTATATCTCCATGGACCAAGGAAATTCCACAATGAAGTAACACGAATCCAAAACCTTAATCATTACACATAAGTGTGTCAAAATGAAGGCACAATTTATGATCAAATACAGCGTCGATTTGACAATACCCAAATACATGTTCTTTCGCTGAATAAATGCAGTCATTTCATCTGCCACTGTTTTTCATTTCAAGCAGATGTAGTTATATGCACACATGACATTCCGGGTTAAAACAGATCTCCAGCAACCAATGCTTGTCGTAAGAGTCAACAGGTTCACTGACAAAATGATTTCGTGAATTGGTTTGTCAATATGGCCGCTGTAATGAGTGAGTGAGTGAGTTAAAATTTAGCGTCACATCGGCAATATTTCAGCCATATTGTGATGAGACCAGTTTCATATATGTCAATTTAAAAAATAATAAAAAAATTTAGTACGTAAAAACCTGTCATCGAAGGACAGTTAAACTACTAGAGTATCACAGCTCTAAATTTAAAACTAGTACATAAAACTAAAAGAAATTAATCCAAGAAGACAGTACAATATCAAACTCGGGCTATAGATCGCCAACAACTGAAGGTAGATCACCATACCAGGGACCATGGGGACTTACAGTGCCTTTGCTACCTGCATGGACCCTAATTGGATTTACACCATCCCCTCAGCCGCTGGCGATTGTAGGAAAATTTAGCCAAATTTTAAAAGAACACAAATACTACGTTTTTAAAATTTGGTAAGCTTAAATGTAACTTTGAAAGTTTTGGGACTTACGTACCCTCTCAGGAGGACAATAATTTTACAATACTTCAACCCCCTTGGAGGGTACAGCCACTTACAATCTCAGTTACTAATCTAAACTACCAAGAATAGAATATTTATATATTTACAAACCACGTATCAACATTTATCTAGTAATTCTATTTCTTTTAAAAATTCAATAAATATGTGACAGTTAACATTAAAAAGACCCTTCACTGTTTTGACATTAAAATATTTATCCCTTGTGATGGGCGGCTGTAATGACCATACTAAAACCGGATTTGAATGACTAGAACATATTGAGCCCAGGCAAAAGAGATTCCTGCTTCACTGGTTCCGTGAAAAGGATAGTCTTGAGGAACGAGGACAAAACCACTGCCCTCTGTATATGATGAAGAGTTGAGTTGTTCGAGTGCGGCGTAAAACAACCCCTCACTCATATACAATAGGGATTGATGATCAACCAAATAAAAGCAATTTATCAATTTGTGCAACTGATTTCATCTGACTATTTTGTATGATACTTTAACAAAATACGGGTGTCATTTACAGAAGAAAGTTGTTACCCGCAATAGTTTTACGGGACTGAATATTGTGTATTTCGTACAGTTGACCCAGGTTATAAATGATTAGTTGCCTTTTAATAGCAGGATAAACTTTATGTAAATGTATTTCTCTATGTGTTTCGTGTTTAAAAGTCGCATACTATATTTACTGATCAGAGGGCTGACATTTGTTGAGAAGAATCATAGTCTGGTCTGGTTGTTAGGGGAGTGACGTACTGTTTATGCAACAAAATAACCAACTGGAGTCACCGACTCGAATGTAATATTATCCCCTGATTTCCTGTACTTCGCAGATAAGCAAGAGTGTCTACGTGACCAAATCTGTGTCGGCAGATTGGATACGGGGCAGAGGAAACAGGGGAAATTCCTATATTTGAAAACATGTCTACATTTTGGCCATTTAATAAATGGTAATATCATTTTAAGTTAATAGTCGACATTTGTTTGCAATTTACTTGATATTACCATGACTCTACATTATATTATTTGCAAACACAGACATACTGTAATATAGTTTGAATATGAATGTGCATTTGTTAATTTCCCACTCTAGCAAACATAAAAAAACAGGTTTCTCATTTGCTTGTACTATTGATTTTGATCTTGTGAACATTAATGCTCATGTAGTAAACAAAAACACTCATTCTAACACTACGAGTAAAGTTATACTTGTAATCCTCTCAAAGGTTTTATGTCACAAGTTATATCTATCACACATATGTTGAGAAACATCATAGGAATACGTACTGCTACAAACAAAGAATGAACGTTCAAAAGGCAAAAATATAATTTGACTGAAATTCTTAAGTGACGATGTATCAGTTTGACTATACAGCTTCCTAGAAATGGATGTTATTGAACGACAGAACTCAGTCGGTCAGGTTCCTTCGACTTTCTGTCGTCATACCCTGGTCACGTTGGATGTTGCTAATTGTATCAATTACTGGATTGCTTGGTCTAGGTTAGTAAGAGACACTATTTAATGTTTACAACACACACACTGTATTTATCAGCTGCATGATCACGGGAATATGTAGACTTTGTATATACATCGGTAGCCTTGATATAGCCGACACGTGTTAGGAAGTACCCATTTTGTTCTCTTTCACATGGTGGCGAGGGTATTGCCATGTCGATGTAAAATGGTATTTTGTTTCAGTTCCTGTGCTCCTATGGTTTTTATCCCATCGTGTACTGTGGTGGCGTGTGGTCCTGTGAACAGAGCTCAGGTCACGAATCAGTTGAAGTTAAGCAACGTTGAGCTCGGACAGTCTTTGGATGGATGACTCCTGAGAGTTTTCAGGACTTCAGTCGCAATTTTAAACGCAAATAGAACGGGAATCTGTTGCAAAACAGAGATGCAAACACGGCAACCAGTTGACCCATTGTATAGTGTTGAAAACTGTGGTGGTTTGACGTTAACAAATATTGTCATTTTCAACGTTCTTGTGTTCTCAGGAAATCATATAACTGACAGTTTCAAACATTGAATTTGACGTTGAGGTATTGCATTCAATTCTTGATGCAGTACTTTCTCCAGCGCATCAAACGAGTTTACTGGGGAATCATCTCTGGTGTTTTTATTCTGCGATGTATCATCTTCCAAACATGGTCAATTGGTAGAGGCATGAACCAAATGGGCTCACTCACGCACACATATAGATCAGTAATACTTTAGCAATCATATTATCGTAGATTCAAATCCTGAATTCGCCTTGAATTTGATCCTTGGTTTGCCATTTCTATACACGTGATCGTGGGTTTAATTAAAGCGGTAAACCTCTAATATCTTGTTACTCTCTACTATAGCACACCGTGATATAACTCATATATTGATTGCCGAGGCGTTAAACAAACAGGCTCATTCAACCGACCCAAATGGACAAGGATGAAACATATAATCTTGTTGATCATTGTCGACACTCTCGTTCCCAGAAACGACCTGAAGTGATGGGAGGTACGCATTCTGTGGCCAGGACCATTTGGTGGCGAATAGGGTGACCCTGGCAGTGTTCTGTACCTGGGTCCCTACGAGGAAAGGTACTATCACCAAAATACACCGCACATGCTAACGTATAAGGGCAGCTGGCGTGCAACATGACAGCGTGTATTGCAGGTACGTTTACATGACCATGACGTGACAGCAAGACATTATGAGTTGTTCACTAGTCACTGGTACTTATCTTACCGAACACATCAGTGTAAATTTTGAACTGTTTGAAGCACGGGTATTGGATCATAATGAGAAGTACTGGAGTTAGGCAACAGTCCAAACACTACTAACACGAAGTACCAAACGAATTCCCACAGTTCGGCATTTCCAGTGGATAACAGAAAATGTTACTCGCCTGTAAGCGGGGTACAATGATTGGCTCAGGCAATCCAATCAGAAAACGACATTTATGTGTGAGGTAAGATCAAGTATAATATTATCCGAGACTCCCCATTCTGTCAACAATATGCTTCAGTTCCACTAACGCTAAAGTTTTTGTTAGCCCCAAACTGAAACCATACACTGGACATACCAGTTGAAGAGCTAAGATCTACAAACGGTTAATGTTGCCATTTTTGTAGCATATAACATTTTTTCCAGCAACCATTCACGTTGCTCCGAGTATTTTCTCATTTCTTCAAGTATTTTCTCGTTTCTTCAATAATTTGTTCGTTGATTCGATTAATTGCTCGTTGTTTCGAAGATATTTTTGTTTCTTCAAGTTTGTTTCAAAAACTGTCATAAAATTTCGAATATTCAATCGTTCCTAGGAGTATTTCCTCGTTACTTCAATCATATTTTCGTTACTTCGATTTCTCAATGAAGAATATGCTAACATTCTTGTCAAACTGGATTTGTACGGATGCGCTGTTCTTGCAGATTTAAATGAAGATGGCGCCAGGTGTATGACCAGTAATCATCATATCTGTGATAACTGGACTCATCAAGGAATATGGATTCACTGAATGTAATCTGACTACGGTGGATCTTATTCTTAACATGATTCTAAATCTATAACGATAAAGGACACAGCTCTGGACATTTGTGCTGTTCGTCACTTGTCTGATCATCAACAGGCGACTGTGTTATTGTTTGGACAACTTTGAGTCTGCGATTGGGGATATCCTGACACCTTGGTACTCCAGAGCACCCAAGTCCAGAAACCAACACCTTCTATCTTGTTCAAGATGTATATTCGCATGTACAGACGGCTATTACTCTGTACTCTCGTGATTCGTGAATGCGAACATCCCAGCGACATTTGTAGATAGCATCCGGACTATCGAGATCTTACTGATTAAATAATATGCTGATCTCAGCAATGGCAAAGATTACCATAACCATCCACTAAGTGATTAGACCACCTTTCCTCACAAGCAGATCAAACACTTTTCTATGTCCATAATAAGCTGCTCTCATCAATGGTGTCCTCACATATTTTCCTCTACTGTTAATGTCCACCATGTCTTGTGATAGGATATGCTGAGCCATGTTTGCATGGACCCCAATTGAAGCATGATGAAGTATGTTGTCTCTGTGATCATCCACGTATGACACGTTAGCTCCCATACTCACGAGAAACTGGAAAACTTTATATCCCTTTAATTCGGCCTTCATCAGCGGGGTTGCTCCCGTCTTACCTCTACTGTTAATGTCCACCATGTCTGCGGATAGGATATGCTTCGTCATCTCGACCTCTCCACCCAAAGCGGCCAGATGAAAGATGTTTTCTCCGCCATCATCCACTGCGTTCGACCACCTTTACTCACAAGCAGATCAAACACTTTTCTATGTCCATAATAAGCTGCTCTCATCAATGATATGCTCAGCCATGTTTGCATGTCCCCCAAC